TTGTAAATACATGCAAAGGGACCCGGTCCTTCTGGCCCCTTCTTGTTTAAGCCACTGTATGCAATAAATATAAAATTGAATTTTCCTTTTAAACTATTTTTATTCTTATCTTTTAAACTTTATTCTTAAACATAAAATTAATTCGAGAATTACTATATAATTAGAACTGAGAACGTGATTACGTGTTTTGGAAATTTTAATTAATTAAATTTTTAAAAGATGAAAGGTCATTTATTAAATCGGGGACTCCTGCCCCTAAGCTAAACTTGACTTTCTGGATTTGACTTTTATGATTCTAACTCCGTTTTCGAGATTAAGGAAGGACAAACAAACGGACAGACGACAGNCTTCCATCAGATTTGCATTTGTAGTTACGATCTTAAATGAATGCAATTATATTATCTCTAATGAACAAAATTTAAAGGGTTTTGCCGTACTATTCATTAGAAATTTTACAAAAACGTATGGGTTAACAAATTATATATATACATCCACTAACTAAACGTTTTCATTAAGTTTTGAGAATAAAAAATGTGTATACCTCTCTTTCTCCTAAAAAATATTGAATAAAATTAAATTATTAAAATTTTAAAAAATTCAGTATGATAAATTAGGTGTTAAACCGCATTCATTGCGCTTGAATTTTTTTTTGTGTGTTTGTTAAACTGGTGTAACCATTACACGAATTATCATAAGATATATATCAATGGCAAAACTTCAAATCGCATAATATGAGATAAAATCAGCAATTTGCATTTAATTAAGCGTCTAATTGGATTTTGATGATAGAATCGTAAATAACAAGTGATTAATGGCTATGTAATTTCATTATATGCCCATCTTTTAATCTGTAATTGGAGTAGTATAACAACCGTTTTATAAATATAAATTAATTAGTTAATCTTAATATTTTAAATTAAAATTAATAAATTATAAAGTTAAACTAATCGATTTTAATCTAAATTCCTGAGTGCAAAGTAAATATAGTGATGACATATTTCTACTTTTTTTCCCCTTGATATTTGATTTTGTTGGATGCTTTTGTAGTATACATTTGATACATCTTTGTAACTTTGAAGATTTGATTGGAGATCGTCTTCGAGTCCATTTTCAATGCATTAAAACGCTTCCGTTGGTGCAAGAATGCCAGAGAATGAATGTTTATATATCTCTAGTTTATTTTCTACTTCAAGTGTCTTGATACAGGTTTTGGTTGTTTGAAAGCAATGGAAAAGGGGGAACAAAAGATGGAGAGGAAATGGTAAAGTAGTGAAATATATTGTTTCCTGAATGGAGATCTTGTTGAAGTTCCCACCTTGTCACTAGCCTATTCATCCCGCTTTACTTTGTTGAGACGTGTGAAAGTTTTTGTGATATATGCCTTGACTTATTTTTTTTTTCGAATTTATTTACAATATATTCAAAATACAAACTGAAAATCTTTAATTGTGTTGCAGAATATAATTATGATTAACATTAGAACAAGGCAAAGAATGATCCAAGAATATATCTTACGGGGGGTAAGATTTATAATTTGTGTATTAAAATATACAATGTATGAAAGTTTTATTGATTTAGTAATTACTTAAAATAAACTTAAACAATACAAAAATTAACGAGCAATTATTTATTGTGACATCGTCACAATGCCAAGCTGAAATTTTTGATCGTGTTGTTTTAATCTATTTAATTTAAAATTTATTTAATTTATGTATGCTTTTCACCTCAAATCAGTAATGTCTTGCCCCTGTACGTCATATTTTTCCTTTAGCAATAGAGTCGTGCGGGTCTTCTATCTAATTTCATTTAGGGAAAACTTTTGAATTAAAATAACATGCTTTCTGGTTTGTATCGGAAGTTTGTATATAGTCAATCGAGACTTCTTACCCCTCCATATATATCTCGATTTACATCTGTCTAACTCTGTTCTCAAAATTAGAGAGTGACAGACAGACGGACGACGGTAGGAATTTATAGGTCTAGTCTTTTTCAAATTGCCAGCCAATAATGTTCTATGTTATACAAGTTCATCATAGTTAAACAGTATGTTTGGTTGAGATTTCCCCAATAGTTTTTTCTACAAAGAGCTCTGAACACCCAGTCTTTAATTATGATCTTACTTAACTATCTATGTTTAAACAATAAATTAGGAGAATAATTAATAATATTATAGTGACATTATATGTCTAGTTTTATTCAATTTTATTGTATCATCAATATATTATTTTCAATTAAAGCACACCTGAAATAAATTTGTTATTGTTTCTTCGTTACGAAATTCTTTTCAAAGCTTAATATAATTACTGCATTTAAATTTATATATAATTAAAATTAGTAAATGCATAATTAAAAAAAATTCTTTTAATGATATTTATTACAAATACATCAAGATTATGAAGCCAATGATAGTATTTTGATAGCCAAAAAGTAATATAGAACTGCATGTTTAGGGTATCAGACTATTGGGTAGATCAATGTTTCCCAAACTTTTTGTACTACCGACTCTTTTAGTGCATATATATATTTGTTTGTTTCAAAATGAATTTTGATCCCCTTATCTTCCAACATCCCTACTAACACACATACTTGCCTTGAGTCTTCTGTCGCTCTCAAGGGGACGGTAGCGCTCACTTTGGGAATCACTTGGCTAAATAATACGACATAAAGAATTTGGTATTATCGTGTAAGTAATACAATTTTGTAAATTAAATTATTTTAAGCTATTGTTGTTATTCCATTTTTGACAGTTTTATTATTTATCTTTGAATGAAATATGGTAGCTAACCTGATCCAAATATCATTCATGTTCAACTGACATTATGTTAGTCTTTGAATATTGCTTAAATCTAATAGCTACAGCATAAATAAAACATTGCTGATACTTAATTAATAATTTGCTTGTAGAAATAGGCTGGCAGAATTACATTTTAATAAAATATAAAATTCATCTGGATACGAGTCCAAGTTTACTTGCCATGTCTAATCACCAGGAACAACTATTTCCATTGCAGAGACAACCTTTCTTTAGAGGCTATGCCTCTGCACGAATATGTAAAACAGTTTAAAATGTCCACAGNATATTATCTCTAATGAACAAAATTTAAAGGGTTTTGCCGTACTATTCATTAGAAATTTTACAAAAACGTATGGGTTAACAAATTATATATATACATCCGGAAATCTTATTATTATAACATTTCCTACGTTTGCGTTTAAGGGCTTTATGAAGCTACTATTTGCACTGATTTATTAGACATTTTTTTATTACCTAAAATAATATAAAAATAAAATAAAGCTTTAATTTTTTTATTGTTTTACAGTCGTACAGATCAATAATAATATTCAAATGTACTTTTCTTTTTAGATTAAACTTCATAGAATAAAAAATAACCATCCTTCTCTTTCTATATTTCATAAATTATTCAATAAGGATCTTCGATTGTTGAAATTTCGCTATTTAATAAGTGTAGTTAGAATATCTAATATCTATACAGCAAATAAAAGCAATTAGTATAGTATTTCATTGTTTTAAAACGCTACTTTTCAATCTGTTTTTCACAACACTCCAAAGTGTCGCAAGATTCTCTGGTATTCGTTAATTTATTTAAATTTTAAATATATCAATGGGTATCAGGTGTTTCACGACACCAAAGTAAGCCAGTTAGAGCGAAAGCTTGAAAAACAAAAATTGAAAATCACAGTGATACGGCCGTGTCTATGTAAAAATTGGAGATAGAAATATGCAATATTTTAGCTTATAAAAAATAAAGTCAAACGAATATTTTTCTTCTTATATAGAAGTTATGTAACTGCTTGTTCTTCCAACTCAACTGACTTATCGTCATTTGAATTCTTGAAGCAAGAGTACAGGAATACAGTATCACGTGATTATTGAAATATATTTTAAAATATTTTTCTTATCAATTGCCAGGTGGCGACGGAAAAAGCCTCCTGGCGGTTAAAAAGTGTAAAATGAAACTTCTTCGTTCAAAAGCTACCGAAATGAATAGAAACGTCTATTTTTGTCTGTTCGGTCAAGAAAAATACTGAAAAAATAATTTAAATGTTAGATAATAACAGAATGCAGAATAAAAGCAAAAAACTTATATGACCGTCTGATATATATGAGTTTAAATTAGAGAATTTTGCTTTAAATTTATACAGTAAACAAAACAAAGTGGAAATAAATATTGAGTAGGATATCCATCATTTGCCACAGAAATAAAAAATAACTCATTGGTTCCGCTTTAAACTTAATTCGAAATTCTTATCTATATTTTCGGATTATATGAATCATTACAATATTCCTGCCATCTGTCGAGCGTTACTAAAACTATAGAAATATGCAAGAAAATAAAATTTTCCCTCCACAAAACACCGAATCTAAAATAAAATAATGCCAACAAATTTGATATTGATAAGAAAAAATAAACATCCGTCTAAAGTCATCGACATCTGTTAGAAACCATCTTGGAAAGCGCGTGCGCATTAAAAAAAAAATTTAGATGAAGATAACATCTGCTAGTCGATGAGAAGAAGAAAAAAGTCTTTCCGTAGCAAATCAGAGTCACGTGGATCCAAGTGGTGGCCCATCTATCTGAGCGACGACAGAGAAATCCCATTTCCTTCAACAAAACGACAAAGTTAGAGGCAAAGCGTGACTGGCAGCGTAACACGTGACATGTCGCGTGTTCCTCCTCACGCCACAATCTCGATCACTTTTTTTTTTTTCCCTTACTTCCTTCTCCCCAACGGCAGATGGAAAAACTGTCTGACTTTGTTCCCATATACGCTATAATAAAGTGGCAAATGGCGGTTTAGCTGAGTGGGGGGAAGGAAGAATTGCTTTTAATGTCAAATTTAATAATTTAAATTTCTTAAATTATAGAAATTGAAGTTTAAAAATTTATTTTAGCGCCAACTTAGGTTAGTAATTTTTCTATTTTTACCTTGGAAATTTTTAATATTTAACTCGCGTATAACAAAGAATTGATTCTCTACACGTAAGTGTTGTGAATGAAGTTAAACTCTCTTACTTTTTTGATATTTTTGCAAATAATCTAAATGTGTTAATCTGTTAAAAAAAAAAGCTTGAAAATTTAAATCTGCCGATAAAGAAACGTGTTAATTTATGGTAGGACGTGCAACAACAGTGCTCTAGGCGCATTTCGTACGCATATAAACGAAGTGAATCAAGCGCGTAATCCCATAAAAGCCTATCGCGCAACCATCAAACAGTCAACAGGTCTGCAAATTTGACACATCAAACAGATTCGGAGTGTTGTGCTCGAAATCACACGCTTACACGTGTCCCCACTTACTCGATATGGGAATCGGACCGCCCACCCCGGTGTTGCTTTAATAGTGACGTCACGTCGCTGTATATCCCTGTATATAAACTGTGTTCACGTTTGGCACCAAGCATGAAGGTCATAAAATGGGCAAAAGTCGAAAGAGAAAAGTGAGTAGAATTTCTTAAAACTGACTTCTCGATAATGTTTAAATTATTTTTAAAGAATTTATTTTTTAATTAGGCTCTAGTCGAAAAGAAAAGAAGAGATAAAATCAATCAAATTTTAGAACAGTTAATCGACTTAGTGCCACTTCCATATCCTAAAGGGGAGGTTCAGGTAAGATTGATCAATTTTTTATTAAAATTACTTAAATCGTTTAAGTTAAATTAGTAATTTTGTTAAGTAATTAAATTTTGACTTAAAATATTTATTAAAATTTTGGACTTTTCTGAAAACAAACTCAACACACATCTTTCAAATACAGTTTCATTTTTTTTTATGTATAAAAACTCGGAATATCATGTATGAGACGAATATGTATGTATTCAGAAAAATTCTGTAGGATAATCACCAGGGCCGGCCTTCTCTATAAAGGGGCCCGGATGCAAGAAACTATTTGGGTCCTACATTTTTTGTAAAATAAAAAAAATTACAAACACAAACATATATTAATGCATGTTTATTTAAAGCGTGATTTTGTTCTTGCTAATACATGAATTACTTCAGGAAAATTATAATTTTTGCAATTTCTTTTTCAATGCTTAATATAGCAATTGCATTAAGCGTTCTGCACACATGCTGGATCGAAATAATTCTTTATTAATTTTAATTTGCTGAAAGAGCGCTCAGCACTTGCTATAGTAACTGGCAACGCAAAGAAAAGTTTTAACACAGTTAATACATTTAGAAATAACTCATTATAATTATTATTTAGTATGTATTGCATATGTCTTGTGTGTTATTTACATCTCTTTCATTCAAAATCAAATCCCGTAGCAAACCAATTTCCTGGAATAGGTTTNTTTACTGATAGACAATTATTATATTGATTTTTCCAAAAAATGTTATTGGTGTAAATCCGAAATCTTTAATATTTACCATATTTTTACCGAATGTCCAAAGATCCTAGAAGCGCAATATAAATATAAAATAAAAGAGATTTTTAATTTAAAACACGAAGAAAATTTTAGATCTAGCTTAAATGAAATTACTTTAAATAAAATGTATAATATTCAAAATTTTTTTGTTTATATTTTAAAAATGTTAAAACAAGATGTTGTGAATTGAGAAATTTATATGTTATGAACTTTGGGTTTTTTATTATGATAACAGATATTTGATAAAGTATGAAAATGTACTAACTTTTTTTGTATGTAACTTTTATTGTAATCCCCCTGTAACAAGATTTTTTCTTAATACAATAAAACATTTGTATAATAATAATAATAATAATAAATTTTTTATAAATATGAAAATTCATACAGATTATTTGTTTAAATTTTTATAAAAATATAATTTAATATTCAGTATCCATGATATAGCTTAAAATGAAAGCCTTTAACCTTATTAATTATTCAGTGGCGCATTATCCTATGGGCAATTGCCTGGGGTTCCCTCCGACAAAAGACACCAAACCGATCTTATATTTAAAAAACTATATATTTTTTCCGCAAAACATCCCCAATAAAAATGTCTGAAATAAACACTGTACGTACGTAGGGCCCCATAACTTGAATTCGCTTGGGCCCCATGAAGCTATAACGCGCGAATGTAATTATTTATCTTCTTCGGTACAATACATTCTGTTAAATGTCTGTATTATTATCATTATAACTGCCTTAGAACATTAAAGATTTACATTTTTAAAAAATACTGGAGTCAGCTTATTCTATTAGCAGACATTATTAAAGTGACATTTACAATAATAAATTAATAATTTTGTCTTTCAACCTTTTTAGTTTCGTTAATTTATATAAATAATTTCTTAATTTTTTTATTAAAGCAATCAATTTATTATTCAAATCGTGTAATTTGTAGTTGACATATAAAAATTACTTTACATCATTAGCAAATATTATTCTAACTATTGATTAAATATTATTTTAAAAAAATCTAAAAGAGTTTATTTAATTTTTTTAAAAAAAGCAGACATACAATATAAAATGTTTCTTTTATTTTTTATTTATTTTTTTATGTGATACTTCACTGAAGAACTGCATAAGGTTGGAAGAATAGAAGTTAACATATTGAATTTAATACAATAAGTAGTTTATTTCTATTCCCCAACTGACATAGTCGACTGAACAAACTCAGCAAGCCTTACAAACACTGTACAAATCTAATATATGATACTATTACCCGGTTCTAGAAGTAAAATTGATAAGAGCGTATACAAACTTTAGCTATAATGTATGCAAATTCCGGAATGAAATTCTAGCAATAAAGATATTTTATTTACTCTATAACATTTTTTAATGTCGGGAACAAAAGATTTCGTGTGTTTTTACGATATTGTTTTACTTAGTAGTTCGTTAGTTGACTTCCTAAAACTTCAGTTGTTGCACATTAGTGTGTTTTCCCACCCATCGGAACGGAAGCAATCTCTGCTTCACGAAATCCGATCCGACGTCATTTCCGAACCTTTCAGTAGCGGAAGTCGGAATAGGAAAAGTAACGTAGCTGTATCAGAGAGAAAGATCGTTATTTCTATAGAGGAAAAGACGACAAATCGTCTTCTTAATGCTTTTTTTTTTCCTTTTTCTTTTTCTTCTTCTTTTTCAGATGTATATGGATAAAGCTGGTCTCTTGCAAGTTACCGTTGAATATGTTCGAAGGCTGCACTTGATACGTTCTCCAGGTATCATTTTTCATATTTTACTATCCATTGTTATCCTAATAGTATTTATGCTATCTTTATTTTTTAATGGCTCCCATGGTAGCCTTGCTGCTCCATTTTAAATACGATTTACTGTCTCGGGTGAAACGTTTTATACCGAGTAATTTTCGAATTTTTCCTTATTCATGAGAATAAAAAGAATGGTTAAATAGCTGAAGAAATTTCAGAAGGTTTTTTCGGTTTTAGTAGTAAAATTTGATGAGAAGATAACTTACAAAGCTACGATACAGGTTCAAACAAGTTCAGAAATAGTTGTTCAACAAGAACAATAGCATTTATTACGCTATTTTATTCTAAAATTTAGTGATACTTTAATGTGTGTGTGTGTGTGTGTGTGTAGGACTAAAAATGGAAGAATTTTAAAGAAATTACTCGTATAAACTTTACATAAATCGAATTTAAAGTTCTAATGTATTTTAAATGAAAATAATCGAACCAGCAATCTATATTCTTTAAAAATCAGATTCTTCAAGCATTTATGGAACAAAATTTTCAGTTAATCGACTAAATTAACCTTCATAGAAATCAAAATTAAACCCAGAACAGTTAATTGACCACGCATAGTACAAGTTCTGATATTTCAATTAGAAAATAATCTCTATTATCGCAGTGGTGCATTATCCTATGGATAAAAAAGGCAATCCTACCAACAGGGAATCCCAAACCAATCTTTTAAAAATTCATTACTGTACTAAAAATATCGAAATTTCGGAAATATCGAAATATTTAAATTTCGATCATATCTGGGGACCCTAGAAGGCCGGTGTGGTGCAGGCACAGGATGCACTGGCATAGCACAGAGGTCGCGTTAAAAAACGAACGAGGATATCGGGGGATTTCTCGAACAAAGATGTTTGAGGTCAACATGTCGACGGGGCCCCTTAATTCAAATTTTTCTGTGACCTTATGAATCTATAACGCGCTACTCCTAATATTATCGATTCTCTAAGGCCACTTCCTAATAACGATCACCTCTAAACTGCGGCCACTTTTTCAGGAACGTTTCTTTTACAAATACATACAAATGACTTCCAAACAACGGCCAATTTTTATGTATTCGTCACAGGCCGTTGTTCGGAGGTTTGGCTGTATTATCATCGATTTTTCAAATTTTATTTTCCAGAAAATTTTTAACTTATGACGATTCAGATTTATTCACTGATAATTGAATCAGATAGTAAAATATATTAGTTTTTTTTCCTCTAACAAATCCTAATAATAGAGCGGATCTCAGTAGAGAGAAAAAATTATTTAACAGCTTTTTTTGCTGTTTAACTGACTGGCACCTCCTTCAAAAAGTCGCGTATAGAATATATATTATTTTCTTAAAATAAAATAAATGTAAATAGATTTTGGCAGGGAAGTTTTATTTAAGATTTATGAGTTTTATTTATAATAAAAATTTTAAAATATTATTAAGAGAAGATAGTAAACATGCCCAAATCTTTTTATGATGTAATTTAAAGCAATCTACACAAATCTTTGCTGGCTTCTATAACCCTGAGGTTCCAACTGAATAGAGATGAAAGCTGATTCAGAATCTCGTCATAATTCATGATTAATTCGATCGAAGCTTCGTTTCCTATCTTTCATGACTCCTTTGAGGGTCAGACCCATCTCTAATGGGCAAAATTGACATTGATTATGTACCATATTGGGCACTGGTGCATCGCGTAATAATCCTAATCTAATGTTTTATGTTTATCTAATTCCAGTTTGGTTTTCCTAAAAATATTTAGAAGATAACGGTGGAATTCGTTTGTTTTTATTCTAAAATCGTTAACGTTTAATTAAAAGAATTTTTCATTTGAGAAGTTTTCTGAAAATAGAAAATCTCGATAGTCTACTTTTTGTAGATTATTCTTACATTTCCTAAGTTTAAAAAATAAAAATAATAATAATAATACAAATATTAAATTTAAAAGAGGTTAAAAGTTAGGAAAAATATTGAATTTTTAATTTGTTTTTTCGAAAACATTTTCAGTGTTTCTTCGCAGCTTGAAATTTTCGAAAATTTCTCACAAGTCAGTTCTATGCGCCAGGTTATTGCCAGGTTATAATATTTTATCAATATTGCTGAAAACTTTTTTGTTTTGTTACACAATTTTTTTAAATATTTTCGGCAATTCTTCTAAAGTTCAAAGCTTTAAAAAAAATAATATTTTAAAGTTTTATTTCTTGTTACTTTCTTTTATATTTCTTGGTATTATTTTGAAAGAATATTTTGAGGAAATTTAGCTATTGTGTCCGATATAATATAATAGCGAAAAATTAAAATTATTATATTAAAAATTGCATTTATATAATTGTATTTTTCGTTTCATAAGTACAATGCCACGATTGATAGTAGCTTCTTTAGAAAATGATACTTGAATTAGTCCTTGTGTAGTGGAATTTGAGTCCTAGATCTAGGGTCTTTGCTAGACCTAGTTTAAGATCTAGCAAAGACACAATGTAGTTTACATTTCATTACACTAGGAAAATAGCTTCATAAAGAAATTATCTCTAAACATGTTTTCACCCCCCTGCCCTGAGAGCACTAAGAGGGCTTTTTAATCATACCCATTGTGGATTAGGTCACACCCACAATAGGTGAAAGTCGATGCACGACGTATCCTGGAGAAACCACCACTTGGAAAATTCCTGGGGTTTTTCTCTCGGATTCGATCCTGGATTTCGTCTTAGGTGTGTGACGTCTTAGGTGACGTCTTAACCGCCTCAATTATTCAGCCATCAAGTAAGTGTCCTGTTAGGGCCCTTTTAATAACGTCTAAACTACATATAAATCTATTCTTCTAATCGTATATTGAACTTTACGATGAAACTTTATAACTTTCATGTATTTTAATATCGCGATAGCCAACAGAAACCATATTAATGTCGAACAGATTGCAGATATTCATGCATGTTCCCATATATGGCTTAATAATCCAACTCGGTTTACAATTATGTAATTTTATATATTTCATATATTGAAAATAGAAAAAAAATCTATATTTCTACAACTTAATATATATTTTAAGTTATGAAATTATTATTTTTTCCAGCTTGGATCAATTATCAAAATGGATATTGGGACTGTGCTCAAGAAGCAAAACGATACATTCTATCATNTTACTTAGCCAAAAATATTTTCTTTGTATTTTTTTTTAAATAACCGAATCCAAGAAATGAATGTAGTTAATAATGTTCAGTTTCCATCGTCCTGCACATGTTATTTATGTCTGAACAGACTAAATTCGTACTATGTAAAGAATTTTCAATAAAAAGGAATTATTTCTTGCCTCTTCTAATTCTGTCCCGTGTTAAAACCCCAAAATAAAAAAAAAAGAAAAATATTATAAAAGGAAATTTGGTCATGCTGGGGAAATTCTCCTAGGGATGATTAGTAATATAAAGACGTTATGGCAATTTAGTTAAAAGCAGATGAGTTATTAATTAGGCAGAAACAGAATCGGTCGAAGTTATCTAAACTTTAACGAGCTAGTTAATTAGAAATAGCTAGAATAAACATGTGCATAATAAGGAAAATAAATGGCACTATTACAATAATTGCATCCCATATACATAAAGGAGATGCCACTCTCTCCCCCCATAAAACATACCGACGCTAATCCAGGGTGTTTAATTGCCGATTTTCCTCCATTCGCGGTTAAAAAGAGGTGTAAATACGTCGGAATATGGTTAAGTAGTGACGCGTGATATGGACGGATGGCCCGTCCGATTGTTTGATGTTTCGAATGCCAATTAATTTCTCGGTAATTACAGTCTGTGCTGCATTGGCTAATTGGCTCGTTTCGACTCGAATAAGTTGGCTTGACATCGATTGGGTCGAGTTCAATATTCCTATAGGAGTAAGTAAGCTTATAGAACGGTTCGATAGACTACTTTTGTGGTAATATGTGCACCGCAATTATATATAGAAAAAAATCACTCTTGAAAAAATGAATCGGAAAAAAAATTCGATAAAATATAAGAAAAGTTTTTCATACAGAATAACCAGGATCTCAGTAGAGAGAAAAAATTATTTAACAGCTTTTTTTGCTGTTTAACTGACTGGCACCTCCTTCAAAAAGTCGCGTATAGAATATATATTATTTTCTTAAAATAAAATAAATGTAAATAGATTTTGGCAGGGAAGTTTTATTTAAGATTTATGAGTTTTATTTATAATAAAAATTTTAAAATATTATTAAGAGAAGATAGTAAACATGCCCAAATCTTTTTATGATGTAATTTAAAGCAATCTACACAAATCTTTGCTGGCTTCTATAACCCTGAGGTTCCAACTGAATAGAGATGAAAGCTGATTCAGAATCTCGTCATAATTCATGATTAATTCGATCGAAGCTTCGTTTCCTATNTTGAATACGCTTAGCTCTTTTATTGAATAATTAATCACTTTTTAAAATTACAGTATTTTGTTCAAAACCTCGAACATTTCAGTTAACGGTAAGAATATTTTTGTAGGAGGCGCTTCAAACATTAAATTTTCTAGCGCCATCTCTTACAAAATATAAAAATGTAGCGCCCCCTACAATATTTTCTATAAATAACTGCAAAATTTTGCATATCTCCTGCATTTACTTTTATAAAACTGAAAACGATTAAATTAAATTTTTAATTTTTAATTGGCTATAAATGTTCAATATTTTGCTTTATTTCCATTATTATGGGACTAAACTTTTTTTTAGTAATTATCCTAGTAGCAACAGTCAGGGCTGTTAATAATAAAAATGTCGTTTTGTACGGAGAGCTTTTAGATGATGCTGTTTACTGCAAAAAGAAAGAAAGAGAAAGAACAAGTAAACCTATCCAGAAATGGCATCAATAAAGGAAGCGAGTCTCAAATAAATTGTCATTAAATCCTAAATTCCACGTTTTTATTAAATCTTGGCGTTTAGGATTTAATAGCGTGACCCACTTTTCTCTAATAGAACTTCCATTAATTTCAATTGTAACTATTAGTGATACCCACTGTTGCATTGCTATAATAGTTTTTCTTGGTGAAACGTAATCTTCGCAGCGAGACAAAAATTAACTTCTGTTATTTATTTATTTATTTGGCACATTTGTACAATTTGTCTGCGTTTATTGGATATAATTATAATTTTTTTAAACTTCTAAATAATTTTTATTCCTGAAAAAAATGTGAATTATCGATTTATCTAAATACTGTATTTAGTTTTTATCGTTTCATCTCAACATTTTAGAATGGCGAGCGGTTTTAAATACATCTATTCATAGTTATACCCTCTTATCTGGTTCAATCTTTATATAATTATCCTATGAATGGACAGGATTTGTCACAGAGACATTGTTTGCCACAGGCTTAGTGGGCCTTTTTTCTAATAAAAGCACCTTTGTGGACTGTATTTTTACTTTAAAAACGTGTAGAATTCTATAGTCAATACGAAAATAACAATAACAGATAAAGAAAAAGGTAGAAAACACAATTGATTTTACTTAGCCAAAAATATTTTCTTTGTATTTTTTAAAAGTATTTTAAAATAATTTTTTAGTCATAGTAAACCAGCTATAGAGACGTTTCACAATTCTGAATGTGGGTCAATATGAAGATTATATGCGATATTCGTGCTTAAAAAGTAAAATAACGAAAGTATTCTCACCAAATTTGGATAATCTCGTATGACCCGAAAAACCTTTACGCCCTCAATCAATATTAAAGTTATGGAAATGAGATTCTTTGAGGCCCGTAGGGAACATAGTTTAAGAAAAGCTGCGATGAAGTAACAATTGTAAAGTGAGGCGAGCGAGATGCCCTTTGAGTTAGCATAAAATATTTGTTATGGAATTTATGAATATTCTTTTCTCCCAGAAAAACAAAGATCGTCTTTACACATTCTTTTCCGTTTTAAGAAAAGTGTGTAGCACTTAATACACAAAATAAAAAAGTTTAAAGGACCGCTTAACACCTCACGTGTTAATACCAAATTTAGATAAGAGAATCGTTATTTTCCGTAAAGAGAAAAATTTAACAGCCAACATCTGCACTCTTACACAATACACCATATCTATAAATTTGATAAAGATGATTTTGCAAGTAAATCGAATTGGTGAATTTCTTCAGAAACACATTTTGACGATCAAATTTCAAAAGTAGGGAATATTCTTTCCCATGTGGACACATTGTGTGTCACTTTGTTGGCTCCAGGGGGATAGACGTTTCTCGTTATCGCTGTCTCTATCGATAGCACTGTCCTCGACCAAGGTCGCACCCCATTTCCCACATGCTTTGCTTTACTCCATTTCTTATCGTTCCTTCCAGAATCCAGTGGCTCAGAGATTGCTTGTCTTTGACTCTCCGCCAACTGATAAGAGCACATAATTAGGTTTAAGTCGAAAAGGAGAAATAAAATATCCGGTTTCGAGTCCAAGTAAAACGTGAACAAGAACAAAGAAAGTAGGAAGACGTCCTGTCTGTCAAGCGTATCAAGATCGAGCACAGTTTTAGTCCTCTTACACAGATCGTGTGTCGTTTACACTGTTCTGTTATATATTTTTTAATTCTTAAATATTTGAGTTTTTTGTTCGGGTAAAGATCTTGCCTTTGATAATGTTTCTACCTCTAAACAATGCGCTGTTTGTTTAATAAGTTGTTTTAAGTAATATATATTATAAAATATAAGAGTTAAAGTTAGATGAAAATTCTACATAGTGAAATATCTGAGATAATCAATGGATCTATATTACGTATATAAATATAGGCCTATATGTATTGATGAATTTATAAAACTTACATTAAAATAATATGTAAAATCTTATTAAACGATCAAGAAGCTGTGTAAATCTTAAGATTCTAGATAAATTAGGAGAAAATAGCTTATCTAAAGTAAAATGATATACAGAATATGTACTGATAACTAACTCGCTTTAGGTGCGGTATGAGTTCTAGAGTTTCCTCATTTAGTTAAATTTGACCCTTTTGACCTCTTGGATTCCAGTTTAATGTCATCCCTTAACGTAGCATTGATCGAGCTCAATAATAATATCATATTATTATAAAAGCATATATTACTGCAAAGCAACCGGATATAATACATATAAGTGTATCATACATCGATCTGACTAAACAATGCAAATCTGCCTAATTTCAGGAGCGTGTACTGTGACGTATATATTGTTTTGTATACTCATACATTAGTAACGTGTTATTAAATAAGGCAATTAATTAATAAAATAATACAAATCATTATTTAAAATGATAAATTTTACTTTAACAATTATAAATTACGTCTACATTTTGAATAAGCATCTTTCTTAAGATTGATAAGAAGAATGATTTGTAGGAAATTCAGAATTTTGTTAAAGTTAACTAACGGGAAAAGAAGCGTATTTCTGTTGTGAATAAAATTCCATTTTCTCCTTTATTTAATAATTCTTTTGTATTCATTCATATTCAACTTGGGCATTGTGGAAGAAGGAAACGATCCGAAAAGGCATTGATAAAAAAATAGATATTTAAAGACACAATGCCGATTTTTGGAAACCTCTTAAGTGAAGATGTCGCAGAAGAAGGAGGCATCAATCTGTCTTCGAGTTCGTTGGCCCTATAAATAATGTAGTGGACTCTCTTAGATATTAAGATTGATGAGCGCAGCTTTTTCTTCTTTCTCGTTTCTGACACGTGATTAACCTATTGACTGCCGAGGAAAACGAACACGGAAATGTCACGTGACTACAATTCGGGGAAATGTCCCGTTAATGGTAGTGTTTGGAGCCTTTCTCATTAATCTGCGGTTATAGACAAAGTAAATTGCTATTTAAACAGTCTCCAGTTTAGATATTTGTAGTTTTAACTAGAAAAGTTTGTCGTGATTAAATTTTAAAGAGAGAAATCCATTTATCTTTTTTAAGGGCGACTCCTCTTCTTGACAAGTGTTTGGGTGGGTTACACATTTGTTTTCGTTATATTTGTATAGGGTTTTTTTGAACGCATTCCCATTCACTCCTACTTTACACTCCACGAAGCGGAATGAAATTAAAAGAAATAGAACTTTGGCAAGTGTAAGTTGATTCTTTTAATCCTACTTTTTTTTAAATCGAAACCCGTATGGTCAACTTGTGATATAAAGTGGGTATCCATCTGTTAAGCTTTTTTCGACTTAATTTCATTTATAGATTATAAAATAAGCT